GAGCAATTTTTGCGTTTTAGACTTCTCTTCCAGTAGTACTTTCCTCAAAAGACTACTTAACGTGCAGCCTTTAAGTTCTGATCGGTTCAGCTTTCACTGTGTTTAAAATATTTTGATTTCTCTCATCATTTCTTCTGTGACTTTTGGGTTATTTAGAATTGTGTTGTTTATTTTCAGATATTTTAATGTTTCCAGATACCTTTGTTTAATTCCATTGTAATGAGAAAAATATTCTGTATGATTTCAGTCCTCTATTAAGACTTTTTTTTAGGCTCAGAATAATGTCTATCTTCATGAATGTTCATGTGCACTAGAATAGAGTATTTTGTTGTTTTAGGACATCTTGGTTGATACTGTGTTATTCTGATCTTCCATAATTCTGTTTACTTTATCCTTTGGTCTGCTTGTGTTCTGTCAGTTACTGTGAGAGAAATGTTAAAATATCCAAATATGATTGTCTCATTCCTTTCAGTTCTCTGTGTTTGACACATTTAATTTTGAAGCTTTTATTAAGCATACAGTTGGCTCTTAAACATGTGTTTGAAAAACTGTGCAAGTCCACTAATACAGGGATTTTTTTTTTCCAACGAATATTGTAGTACTCCATGACTGAAGTGAATCCATGAACTAGGGTATCTGTGAGGGTCCTGAAACCAATCCCCTGTGATTACTGTGGGATAACTGTATATGAAAGTGTTACGGAACCCAGTTAAAATGAGTTTTTCCCTACAAAACCACAGAATTCCTGGATACCAGGTGTCCTAAATTCAACTCAATTCTGACACTATGTATCTAGAGATTGCATGAGATTCCACAGGTTAAAGGCTCAGACCTACAAGATTGCCTCCACCCCTTCCCCCAGCCCTTAGATGGGAATTCCAAGTCCAGGTTGTTCCTTGAGGTTCTGACCAACCAGTTATAAGGTTCCAACAACCCCCACCTTGAGTGATTAGTTTGCTAGTGCATCTCAGAACTGCAACATTTTACTTATTAGACCACTGGCTAATTATAAAAGGATGTAACTCAAGAACAGCCAGATGGAAGAGGTACATGGGAAGGCGTCTGGAGCGTCCATGCTGTTTCCAGGTGCTCCCAAACCCAGAAGGGGTCTTCAGCCCATGTTTTTGGGGTTTTTTTTCCCCCCTGGAGGCTTCATTACATAGGCATGATTTGTTAAACCACTCACCCATGGTGGTTGAGTTCAGTCTCCAGCCCAGATTAAATCATCAGCCATTGGTGAGTGGTTTTTTAAATCTTTATTTTAATTTTGGCTCTGCTGGGTCTTCACTGGTTTGTGCGAGTTTTCTCTAGTTATGGCGATCAGGGGCTACTCTTTCCTGGGGCATGCCAGTTTCCCATTGGGGTGGTTTCTCTTATTGCAGAGCATGGGCTCTAGGATGTGCGGGCTTCAGTAGTTGTGGTGCATGGGCTTAGTTGCACTGCGGCATATGTAATCTTCCCAAACCAGGGATCGAACCCGTCATCTGCGTTGGCAGGCAGATTCTTATCCACTGCACCACCAGGGAAGTCCCTTGGTGAGTGGTTTAACCCCCAGCCCATTTCTATTCTCAGAGGTTGGAGGGTGGGCCTGAAAGGTCCAGTGTCTAATCAGGTGATTGGTTCCCCTGGCCACCAGCACCTATCCTTGGTCCTTTCCCATAGTCATGTCATTAATATAACAAAAGAAATCTCGGCAGCTCTCCTCACTTAAAAAATTCTAAGGAGTTCTAATGCTAGAAATGAATGAGGACCAAGGATATTTCTCACTACATATCACAGTATATTTAAGATTGTTACCTCTTTGTAAATGAATTGACTTTTTTAAGGTTATGAAATAATTCTCTTTATCACTGGTAATACTCCTTGCTCTGAACTAACTCTACATAGTTCATTATTGCTAGCCACTGTATCTTTCTTTTGATTATTGCTTGTATGGTATATCTCTTTCCTTCAACCTATCTGTAAAGTAGGCTTCTTGTAGATAGCATATATTTGTATATTCTTTTAATTGGAGCTGTTAGGCCATTTATATCAAACATAATATAATTCTCAGAATGCTTGGATTTAAATCTAAATTGCTAGTTACAATTTTTTTCTCATTTGAATTTTGATCCTTGCTTCCTATTTATCTGCCTTTCTTTGGATTGTTTTTATGATTCCATTCTATATTTTTTATTATAAAGTATTGCTCTAGGGTTTACAATATGCATCTTCAGCATCATGCTCTACCTTCAAATAATGTAATGTTTTCCTCGTAGTATAAGATCTTGACAAATATATTAATTTTTTACATTTTTTTGGTTACACATTTTACTTCTACACATTATATGCTCTACAGTACATTGTTATGTTTGTGAAATAGTGAAAGTTGTATTTGGAAGACATTTAAAAATGAGGAAAATATATATTTTTCTTAATTTGGGAGTATCTTGGAAAGACATTTTACCTTCATATTAAATATTTGGAATATTTTCTGGGTATAAAGTTAGGTTGAGGTTGAAATAAGTTTTAGGAGAGAGATGAAGCATTCACTGTTGATGGAAAAGCCCTGAGAACCCCAGCCAGATTGATCTTGGGTTTTGTGATTGCTTAGAAGGAAGTGGTACAGGCAGAGGATGGATGGTATCATTTATAAAGAATTGATAACACTGTGAAGGTCAGTGGGCTGCATAAACAAGGACCTGGTTTTTAAGTCCTCCCTGAAACTACTATATAACCCTTTGGCCTTCACTTATGAAACAGTTAAATTTTAACATTTAAACAACATTTAAAAAAAATTCAGTTCAGTCGCTCAGTCGTGCCTGACTCTTTGCCACTCCATGAATCGCAGCACGCCAGGCCTCCCTGTCCATCACCAACTCCTGGAGTTTACTCAGACTCGTGTCCATAGAGTCGGTGATGCCATCCAGCCATCTCATCCTCTGTCGTCCCCTTCTCCTCCTGCCCCCAGTCCCTCCCAGCATCAGGGTCTTCTCCAGTGAGTCAACTCTTCACATGAGGTGGCCAAAGTATTGGAGTTTCAGCTTCAGCATCAGTCCTTCCAATGAACACCCAGGACTGATCTCCTTTAGGATGGATTGGTTGGATCTCCTTGCAGCCCAAAGGACTCTCAAGAGTCTTCTCCAACACCACAGTTCAAAAGCATCAATTCTTCGGCGCTCAGCTTTCTTCACAGTCCAACTCTCACATCCATACATGACCACTGGAAAAGCCATAGCCTTGACCAGACGGACCTTTGTTGGCAAAGTAATGTCTCTGCTTTTTAATATGCTGTCTAGGTTGGTCATAACTTTCCTTCCAAGGAGTAAGCGTCTTTTAATTTCATGGCTGCAATCACCATTTGCATTTTAAAAACACCTTATAGTGATAGTATAAGAATCACTGTACTTTTTTGAGAGCCTCATAAGAAACATACTTAATTGTAAGGTAGAGTGGAATTTTTAAATATGTGAGACAGCAAAAGATAAGTAAGAATCATAAGGTTAATTGAGTAAGATGCAAAATAAGTAGAACTCTATCTCTGCTCATTAATAATGTCATTTTTTAAATCGATGTTTGCTACTTCTGTCTTTGTTTTAATATATATTTGATGTTTAAATTGACCTAAAATTAGACTGTCCAGTTAAATTATCTGCTATAATTTTCAAGGAAAAGACTGTTGGCAAGATAAGAATTACAGATGCTAATTTACTGATAAACTTTCCTTAGACCTTACATTTACTCAGAATACTTCTAAGAGTTTAAAAGCTAACTTGCCAGATTAAAATGATATTTCTCATTTCAGACTGTATTGAGTAGCTTCTTGGAACACTTTGGTATATTCAGATATTTAAGTGTTAATCCTGTTGTACACTTCGTGCTGGACAAGGTCACAATTAGATAGCTAGGATATAGGATGCAAGGTATACTAAACTTTAAAAATTCAATTTATATTACTTTTAAGTTCTGTTGACTTTTTCAAAAATTTTCTTCATCATTTTTACTTCGTGTGAGCCTGTTATACTTGAAATTTTTACTGTTTTAGATTTAGAGCTACTCCAGGTGGCGCTAGTGATAAAGAACCTGCCTGCCATTGCGGGGGGCATGAGAGTTGGGGGTTTGGTGCCTGGGTCAGGAGGATCCTTTGGAGTAGCAAATGGCAACCCAGTCCAGTATTCTTGCCTGGGGAATCCCATGGACAAGAGGACCCAGGAGGGCTACTGTCCACAGGGTCACAAAGAGTTAACACGACTGAAGCAACTTAGCACTCACGCACACACATACCTGATTCTATTATTAATCAAATGGTCTGATTTTCAGCAACTTACTTGACCTCCGTGTACCAAGTCATCAAGAATTCTTAAATGTAGGCCTTGGATCAGGTCTGTAGTTTTTCTTCAGCACTTTTTTCCTTAAGTAAAATTTTAAGTTAGGAATCCAGGTAAATTGTATTAACTTAGAGATTATCCATGAGATAAGACTTCTGAAAAAAAAACTGGAGTTCAAGTGGCTGGCTGTCTTACATTGGACCTACTTCCTATTATTTTTCTTATTTTAATTGCATAGCATATAGAATATTCAGTTTCAATGCAGGTATAAAAGGTAACAGAGTTTTCTTAACAACTTTGAAGTCTCAGTAAACTCTTCAATTAAAGAGAGATGGCAGGAGAAGCTTTATTCTGAACTCTACGCAAAAATGAGTTCATCCAGCAAGACAGGTTATAGCATTGAGTCTGTAGTGTGTTAAAATTTGATATACAGTATGTTTAAGGTGTTAAAAATATGTAAAATAAATTTTAATCAAATGTTTGTGTCTTAAGGGACAGAGCTATAGCTCAGGCCTGTTTGATGCAAGAGCTCTATCATACTGTATAATTTTTTTAAATAAAAAATGTTTATAGTCTAGCCACATTCGTTTATGGCTATTGCTCAATGTTTCATGACTCAAAATACTCAAGTTCAATCTTCTAAAACATTTGTGTCAATTTTTGTGACTAATTATTATTATTTCTTTTCTCCAGGGAAATGAGGCAAGTTATCCTTTGGAAATGTGCTCACACTGTAAGTGAAATATTCTTACCAAGAATTTATTTTATTTTCACATCTTTATATATGTACATGTATAAATCATACACCTTTGTGTATTTGTATGGCAAAGTTAGTTCTTAGTGGTTTTAAATGGGTAGTGAGTTTGACTTAGAGTCTTTCTGAGTTACCAGAATAGTGAAAGATACTTTTTTATAGATCTCTTTACTATTAGTGTCTGCACTGTGTTGTAATTACAAATTGGCCCTCAAATTTCAGTGACTTAACCCAACAGTTTTTCAGATTAACAAAACTTCAAGTAAACAATTTATTTAGCCTGTGGCTATGTAAAATCAATGCTTATTGGAGGCACAACCCTGGTAGACTAAGCAGCTGTTGCATGAGACCTTTCTGGGCAGAATGAGGAGTATAAGAAGTGTGAGTGGGCTGGTTATTTCTGACTATACTGGAGAATATAAAGAACATGGTAGTCTTACAAATTCTTGATTCAAGGATCAGAGAACCAGAGAGCTTAAATAAAAATCATAAGGTCTCTTGTGTGGAAGTACAATGACTAGGGAAGAAGGAAGATCATGGGAATTGGCATGGGGACCTTGGTAGATTTAGGTACAATCCTGAGGTTCCAGAATTCCCAGACTCTTCTGAAACTTCTGTGCCTTTTCTGCCATCCCTGTGTGATGAAGGTGGTCGTACCCTGTTTGGAGACAGCTTACTTTGCGATGAGGTTTGTCTTATTAAAACTGTTTTTCCATTGTTCATCATTTCTTCAGTCTGCTTTCTTTTCTCAGAACAGTTGTCAGTCTTTGGGGCTGCAAAGATTTGGACACGACTGAGCGACTGACACTTTTCACCTTTTTTTTCTCATCGACACCTTTGCTTTCTTTTGCTTTCTGATTAAATGCTCTTATATCAGCTCTTTTCTTGACCGACTTCATTGTCTTTCAGATGTCAGCATAAATGTCCCCGATTTGGAGATGTTTTCTCTTTCTCTGCTCTTCAGATTCTAACAAGGATAGTGCCCTGTTTATTTTCTTTATAGCAGTTACCATAAGCCTAAATTACTTGTTTATTAATACATTGTAATCCATTTTATTTTCTATTTTGTAACTATTAAAAAAAAATTTTTGTGGTGATACTCTGAGCACTTACCCATAATTTGGCCATCTCTACTGCTGTTTACATTTTATTTTACTTTATTTGTTTGCTCCCAAGCTTTCCCTTCTGAATTTCTTATATCACTTTGATCATACATAGCTGTATATTTCTGTTTTAAGCATGAAGGTAAAATGTTGTATCCAGTGTATTTTTAGAGTGGACCAAAACCATAACTAATCATGACTGTCTAGACCAGAGGTTGGTAAACGACTACTTACCAACAGTTTTGTTGATAAAGTTTTAGTGGAACACTGCCATGCCCATTAGTTCACATATTGTCTATGGCTGTTTTTGTCTGACCTGTGAAATGTGTTCAAGGTAGAGTAATTTAACAGACTAGTGCTCCCAAGTGTTACCTCGATCTATAATTCTTGTCCATGCCATAGTTAATGTGTCAGTTACAGTTTCTTTAGAATTGAAAGGGCTCTGCTCAGAATTGTACCTTGCCACTTACTGTTCAGCTTGAGCCTGTGGTGTGAGCATTCCCCCGGTTGCTAGTGGGCTAAGAATGGGTTGTAGAAGCCTGTAATTAACTAGGATTCAGGCTGCAAATAGAGTTGGGGTGGGCTGTGGGGAGCACGACTCCGAAAGGTATGAGGTACTGGGAGGTTAGTTTTTGTTTCTTGATCAGGGAGCAGAGGTCCTAAGGGGACAGTACATCCCAGGTTCTAACCTTCTGCTCTCCCTGTGAATCTGGGACTGAGGGTCATTTACCTGATTGTGGAGAAAAATGTACCAGAGCGAAAGACAAGATGGTGTTCCCTTCACTGTATCCAAGATGTTTGAAAGCCAAGTTTTTTAAAATAGTAAGTATTTGAAATAGATTTCATACACTGTTAAAGCTGTTTCTTTCAGTTTTATCCTCAGAGCTAAGTCTTTCTTCTGACTTCATCTGTGCTTTGAGGAGGCTTGAGCCTTGTCACTAAAGATCTGTACTTGTCAGTGATTGTTCAACTAGGTATGAGTCTGTCTGAATTCTCCTGTCATCCAGTAAAAATGAAGTCTTCCTCCTTCCTAAGTGGTTCACTAGAGTATAATATATTTTATACATGATTTGGATGAATTTGAATTTATCCACATTAAAACCACAACTTTCCCCCACCCACACATTGTAGTCTTGTTTGCTCATTTGCAAAACTTTATTAATGAGAGCGCTTAGTGTTATTTGTAAACGGCTCTTAGCATGTATAGTGTTAGCACCAGTCCTTGGGGCACTTGACTGTACAGTCTTACCTGTTCAGCTTGTGCCTTTTTTTCCCTTTTAAGACCTAGCTCAGGTCTGTGTTCTCTGGGAGACCTTCCATAGTCCTCTCACGTCATCAGTAGTTAGTCTCTTTTGCTCTTTTAGTATTTAAATTGTACTGTTTTGTAAAAGGTAATAACATTCTAAATATATACTGTAAAGTACTGTTTACCATCTTGTGTGTGACACACAGGTAAGTACCCACAGAGTGCTTACAGTCTAGCTATTGGGAGAAAGAGAAATGCATTTTTCTCCAGTGGAAATAAGCCATTATGAGCAATAAAAACAAAGGCTCCAAGAGGGGAAATTACCATTGGTTAAGAAAATTAAGAAAAGCTTCATGGAAAGGGTAATGTTTGAAATTGTTTTTTGAAATCTGCATAAGATTTGGATGCTGATTAATTCTTACATCTGTCTGGTCATTTACCTCTTTCAGTCTCTAAATTCCATCCAGATCTTTGACGTTTTATCTAACCCCATGCATTATTCTTTCTGGCATTAAGTCATTAATCAGTGACTTAATGCTAATGCTTTAAGAAATGCTCAAGAAAACTTGAGGCTATTTCAAAGTGTTAACCTCATTACCTCCTCAGTCCATCACCGCGCTGCCTGCCACACACAGAAATTTTCCCATTCTCTTAGTCAGGCTTAATAGCTCTTTGCTTTCAGTGTCAAAGTTTGGGTTATCTCCCTTATTCAAGGTCAGCCTCTGCACTTGTGCTTTTGGTCTCATCCCCTCTCACCTCTTGGACCTTATTTTTTTAGTTTCTTTCCATTTTACCTATGTCTGCAGCTTCTTCATTTTACTTCAGTTTACATAGTCAGCTCCCCTTTGATCCTGATCCCGCATGTATCTCCCAGTTTTTCTCTCATCTCTGTCATATTTGAGCTTTGCAAGAGCATATACAGTGATCTCCATTTCCTTATTTCTGTTAATTTCTTTGCCTGCTCAAATCTGGCTTTCATCTCCTACTTTTATTGAAACTGTTACTGTTAAGGTCACCTTCATTTTATTGACACAGTGCCCAATTGCTAAATCTGATGGAGTAAAAAAAAACCTGTAAAATCATTTGTGGTATTTGGGGAAGTTTGAACACTGATTATTTACTATCAAGGGATTAATTAGTAATAATTACTGTTTTAGTTAGAATAATATTGTGTTTAAAAGAATATTTTAGAGATAGGTGGTAAATACTGAACAGTTATATGGATATGGTACTACTATGTCTGGGATTTGCTGTAAAATACTTGAAGTGGGTTATAAATACAATTTTTAATGTGTTAATAATTGAAACTGGGTGATGGGTATGTGGGATTCATTATGAGTCTGTCAACCTTTACATTTGTCTAAAGTTTCCTTTATATGTATTTTTTAATAAGTGAAAAAAAGTGGAAAATAACTGAGTAATATAAAGGAGAAATTATGATTTAAGTATACTTCACTATGGCATGCAACATAGCCAGCTTTAATAATAATAGTAATAAGAGGTGGTCAAGCTCATTGTCACCACTGAAAGAATTGAGGTGTTGACAGTAGAAGTGGAAGTGTGATGCCTGGCATAGAGCAGATGCTGAATAAGTATCTGTTGACTGAATAAGTTAGTATGAGCTCAGTGCTGGATTGTATAGACAGCTAGTTGGATCATTTTAAAGGCTGTTTCTTTAGAAAAACCCAGTAGATAGCAATCACTCCATTTGTTTTCATAAATAATAACAAATACATGGCATTTAACACATACCAGGCACTGTTCTAAGTACATCACATAGATTTACTTTTTAACCTTTGCAGTAGTCTCATGAAAGAGGTATTGTTACTTTTCCCATTGTTTAGATGAAAAAACAGAGACGTCAGTAATTGACCTAAGATGACGCAGCAGCAGGTAAAGTAAAAAGGCTGTGATGTGTATCAAGCAGTCATGTTCCAGAGTTGTATCTTTGATCAGTACCGTACAGCCTCTCTTATAGTAACTCTTATCAGATTAATGTTACGTTTGTCTACATGAATGATTTTATGGAAAATTGGACTTGTCTAAGATATATTTAGGTATTCTGATTTTGTGTGTGTGTGTATCTTAATGTCTCTTAATTCAGTATTTGGTTTTTGTTGAATTAAATTATTCCTGGCCATTGTGACTTTGTTCTTTCTATTGGCTAACCTGTCTGGAGCAGGAAATGTATACTCTTGTTGCGGTGATTTGCTCAAAGACTGTGGTTGTAACTTGGCATGATAACTTGGAAAAATGGCTGAGTACAAGATACTAGGTTAGATAGTTTAGCAGAGGGCTAGATTGGAGCACAGGTGGAAGTGTGTAGAAAGGGAGATTCAACTAATTTACTGTTGGTAAAGCCAGTATAACTCTGAATAATTTTAATAAAATTGGTAAACGTAGGGCCTGTTTTGTAGATTGAATGCGGATGAAAGACTAAAAAAAGTCTTTTATCTGAAGAGATTTCTCAGTTTTCTTTTGTTAGAAGGTGACCCAAGAGGAGCTTGGCAGGCTCTGAAGGAACATTTCCCTTTGCATAATGAACTATCTGTAGAAACCTTGAAGACACCTTTAGCCACTAGAACACTGCTCTCATTTTAAGTCAACAGTCTCATATTTAAGTAGTTTTG